AATACGGTCAAAGAGACCCTCCCACAATTGACCGTGGAGAAAATCATAAACGATTTTCTTACAGAGAGTGGACTTTCCAACCCCTGCACGTCCTCGAATTAGGATCCGCCTCGGCCGGATTGTCATACCGTCTGAGCTCTCCCGGTCATCAAATAATCTTGTCAGGTTTACATTTTTCGCCTTATCAGCTCGTCCAACCTGCAGGCTCTTGAAGAGTGTAAAACGAGAGGGTCCTTGGTCTGGAGTTGATACATCCTCTCCCTGCGATCGCTCTACTAAAGAAAGGTTGATATAACATTGATTTGTGTCGAGGTGCTCCCCAGAGATACGTTTGATTGCAAGGCGATCGTCTCGGGCGTAATATTCGCTGATCGCGCTATCAGCATCGAAGATCACGGCTTGTCTGCAATTGCGCCACGCTGCGTCAAGGAGAGCGCTGGGATCGTCTTCTAGTCTAATTCTTTCAATCGAGAAGAACGGTATACCGGATTTGAATGAAGTATTCTTCCATCTGCGGAACCTGTGGCGAGGCTGAAGGGTTGCATCCCTCCAGCTTGGTTGACCAAGGGTGCCGCCAATTAACGAGACCCAGGCACAGACGCGTGCGGGTGCCTTCTTTTCAGGCGTGATGCTACTGAGAAAAGCAACGATCCGCTCCTTCTGGTCCACATCGCCGGCGTCCCAGGCCTGCTCAAGCTGGGCATACACGCCGCACCAAAGGAGTTCTTGTTCATGGTAATTAATCTGCTGGAGAAAAGCCTGCAACATTTCGAATGCCCCTGATGAGATCATCACGTTACTGTATCGAAGAGCCCAATACCAGGATTTCTGCGAGGATAGGCCTGCCATGTTTCGTACCAGCTGTTGTAGATCATGGGATGATTCATAAAGGTCCTGAAGAGCATTCACCACAGTTTTGAAGAGAGATAGGAATTCCATTGCATTTGACGTGGCATCGAGAGCTTTCGCTGGATCCATACTCGAAACAGCCCCGGCCGTTTTCGCTAATATTTGTATCAAGTTCCAACTCTGTCGCAGAAATAATTCAAAAGGGCCCTCATTATCGGGAACTCCTCGTAGAGCCTGGTATGCGTAGCTAGCAGCTTGAGCCAGACGAGGATTTTGGTGTTTTGCCATGCCCTCTAGTTGCTGAGATAAAGGTTCGTGAAGTGTCTCTCTGTCAATCCCGGAGACCTTGACGTCGACCATGGCATCTAGCACGATTGACATTATGCTGGTCACCTGGTACTGAACTTCCGGTTCACTTTGTCGCTGGGCCTTCTCCAGGCGCGTTTGCAGACTTTTAAGGACCGCACCAAGCATATGAGTTTCGGCAGATAACGTATGCGGAGCATAGCGGAGAACAAATGCAAAGCATGTCAGTAATTCTGGGTCGAGTATTGTGCCGTCAGTTGTGCCACGGATGATTGTATTTGCAAAACTCGTGACGAGATGGCGATACTGATTATCAGTCACGACCGACGACAGCATCGCGGCTTCCCTCCAATACGATTGCGGCTGCGCTTCTACGAATTTATTGACCATGCCAGCCACCGTTGCAAGCATGGCGCTCTTTTCTCTGGAGTCACATTGAGCGAATCTCAAACGTTGAACGAGCTCCTTGGTTGAAACCGAGGCGAGCCTTTTCAACGGCGGATAATGAACATTTCCTTTTGCAATAAAACACGGATCGCTTTGACTGGCCATGACGATTTGTCTTGATTTCAGTTTTTTGCCTTTCAGCTGAATATACCTGGTGTAATGAGCCTCCTAGTGAAAGAATTAGCGATAGAATGGCGCATATAAGACTGAGATAGTCACTCACGGTCTCCCTGTACCGGCGTATTTAGATTTCCCAGCATGTGTCGAAATAACACAAGATTGAGAAAATCGAGAGAGAGAGCAGCGGGGCCATGTCTATTATAGATATTCGTAGTCATCTGTGCTCTGTTGGAGCGGACAAACACCCTTGTCTCAAACATCACATCAATTGGCCGAGCAGGAAGCGCCTAAATCCTGCATTGGCGGTAAACGACCGGCCCCAGGGGCGCAGCAGAGGGCGGCGGTAGAGAGATGCGCAGGAGGCATTATGCTGCAGAAGCGACGTGACTGGATGAGGTTGAGGACGAGGAAAGAAAGAAGATGAAGGATGGAGGAATTGCTAAGATTGAGATTCTCCTAAAAGGGAAGGAGTAATATCAACCAGTCAGCCACACGAGTGAGGTGTGGCTGGTGTGTATCACGTGGCTTTCGCGAATCATGAATCTGAAACAAAACGTCTTCCACTCTGTACGTTGAGTGAGGGGGCTTATGGTATAACTTGAACAAGAAACGTTTTTGTTGAAATACTGGTAAGTCTCATACAGCCTTTCTTTCCTGATAGAAGACATTTCCGGAGCTGTCGAGCGTCAACTGTTTGACTGACCGGTTGATTTTTCAGTACGCCTACCCTGTGAGCACACAGATTTTGATCCGGAGGATAAAGCATCTATTTCCGGATGCTGGAGAATGGCTTGTCGCTGTTTTTGAATGGCCGGCACTCGCCGCAATAGTTTTCCGGTCCTCTCTATCCCATTTGGAAGGCTGCGATGTCATGGACTTCAAACCGGCATTCTCTACAGCAGGATATACTACGATCAGATACTTAAATAGTGAACAATAAGGGGATACGTGCGGTTTGGATGGCCCTGAAGTCATGCCCTGACCCCGGATGGTATGACAGGTCTGTCCGGGGATTCTGAACCAGGCCGTCAGGGATATCATACACCGGGGAACCAAGAACGGCTATTGATCGAAGTACTCCGGGGTTCTTGATATATCTGGATGGTCCATTGAGCATGAACCAGCACGACATTCCATTGACACCTCCTGGGAACCCGAATCGGTCAGCTCCACCGGAAAACCTCACATAGACTGTCAACTCAATGCAAGCCAAGCCTCGTCGTCAAGATGCATAAAAACAGCATGTTTGGTCGGGCCCAGTCATAGCCTCGGCCAGGGTTCACATATCGGCTTATATAAGCTCCGCCGTTCTCCGAATGATTTCCCGACAGCTAGCTTGATCTCTTCTTCTCCATCTTTCTTTTCTCGCTTGATTTCCGGTCATTCTGGAATTTGCCCGGGCCAAGCCCCTTCTGGACTTGTCACACTCATGTCTGCGCGCTGGATGGTTGACCACGCCTAGCCGTCGATCGATATATGTCGGGACGGAACGCCCCTCGCTCCAAGAATGGTAGGTCTCCTTTGTTGACCGTGCAAAAATGAATGCGCTCTGACACTCACGGGAACAGGCTGCAGTACCTGCCGTCGTCGAAAGGTGAAATGCGGAGAGGAACACCCTGTTTGTCAGCGATGCTCCAGTCTGCGTCTCCATTGTGAATGGGGGGTGCCGGTGAAGCGAGGCCGTTCCGTCCAGGTGCGAGAGTTGCAGCCAGCCACTCGGTCGCCGTCGCAGCAGGAGGAAATCAGCTTGGATTTTGGGAATCTGGCGCTGTTGTGGGAGCGCTCTGCTACATCGGCATCGCCTGGACAGCCGACTTCACTGCCGGCCACTTTGCCGTTTCTTCCTCCCTATTCGTATCCGACTCCCATTTATCCCTCCGTGTCGACGCCGGAGGTCGCGTGCGCCAACTCCTTGGTGCTGTCCAAGCAGGACCAGAGGTATTTTCAATATTTTCCATCGTCGTCGCTTGTATTCTACTACATGAAGGCCTGGCAATGGAGCAGCTTCTGTTATCTGTACCAGGGGCCTGCGGCCACGAGCAAGGTGATTATGCGAATGATACTCGCGCTCTCTGCCAGTGATATGCACCGGAACGGGCTGGACGTTCGTTCGCCAGGTCGCCCAACAGCAGAGGACCACGCACGGTATCACTACGGACTGGCGGTCAAGGAGTTCCGGCAAACGCTGGAGACGCCACGGCGACACATTTCGCACGGCGAGTTGGAGATGATCTTTGTGACCATGTTCCTGATGGTCATGTATGAATGTCAATTTGGACACCACGTACGGCATTTGCAGCTGCATCTGCAGGGTGTGCGATCGTTGCTTGAAACTCATCCGGAGTTGTTCCAGAACCGCAACGTGGGCAATGTGTTTTCCTTGATGGATACTGAGCTGTCTGACCCGACAACTCAGGACATCTCTTTTGTTCCAATTCAAATGCTCCTGTGGATGTTATACGTGGACATCAGCGCGCAGCCGATGGGCGCGACGGAGTCACTATACGACTACGTTTTGCAGTCGGGCAACGCGGCATTGCAACCGGACCACCTCTACCAGGGCGCACGTCTCTGGGGTCGATGTTTCTGGGGTGATCAATATCCGGAGAAGGAGGTGATGGACGATAACGAGAATTACCGGGGGCTGGAGTTGATCCATGTTGGCATGGTCTTACGACATGTCATATGGAGGCTAGCCATGGGTAACCCAGTGGTACCTGGCACGACTTCTGAATCTCTTTTTCAAGAGATGATGGCCATTCGAAACGTAAGACCATCTTCACTTCACGCTTCTATATGTACCAGTCTAACGAGGCACAGAGATACTCTGATCTTTTCATAACAGCCAAAATGGCCCGCGGCCATTCCGCCTACCGCACGATCAACACGATCCTCATGGCCGTCGCCAACTTCTACGCCGAAGTCCTATTCCACCGCCGTATACTATGCATCGACACGCCACCCTCCCCATTCCAACGGCAAGCGCTAGGGCATATTATGGAAATTGCCCAGAAACAATACGGCTGGGATCCACGATTGCTGCGACGATTACACTGGCCGCTGCTAATGGCCGTTGTCGACACGCCCGACCCCGTCGCTCGCGAGTGGCTACAACAACGACTGGCGGAGCTGCGCGCGTCCCATTCAGAGTACTCCTGGGCGAACCGCGTCGCAAACGAGGTATTGGTAGAACAGGAGAAAAGTGGAGGATATGTAAATCTGCTTGAGTTTCTACGCACTCATGTTCAATAGACTGTACTATACACATCCACTGATATTTATTCGAACTCTGGCGTATTGTCTAGGAAGTACGCATCATAAGAAACCTCGTATTTGGTCCTAATAGCCCGTCCAACAATCACCCGGTCGTTCATCCATTTGTACCGCTCACTTCCCGTCTCAACCTTGATATGCAAATGGAACCAGTACTGGCTGTGATGGATCGGCTTTCCTTCCATCAACCCCTGCAGTACCTCTGGGGGGCCGGAGCGTGTTCCCTCGGTCCTACCTCTTAGCTCTTCTCGTGCGGCTTTATTCCGCTGTCAGGTAAACGTACCGAATCTCTAAATGCGCTCCGTCATCGCTCTTAACCAAATACCGCGCATTCACATGCGTAGTGAGACTTTCCTCCTCCGTCCTACCCATACGCCCATAAGAATCGGAACATCACAAACAGAAGGGGTATTACATAGAATCCTCACCACCAACTACCTCGCCAGTGAGACATTTGCCACTAACACTGCCTCCGACGATCCGGACCCAGCGCCGGCGACCGGATGATACCTGGCCAATGTCCAGCGGCTGCTTGACGGTGCAGCGAAGGGTGAAGATACAAGTTAGCTGGGGAGGGGGTAGAAGGGTTTCCATCGCGGTCGTAGTTATACTGTGAGAGCAGTAGGTTACAAAACGGTTGAGCAGAATGGTTCTGGTGGCGAGGGCTTAACATCATAGCCGTTACAAAATATACAGAAAACCATCATTGTATCCATTTTCAGTTTCAAGATCACAATCAAGATCTCTCGGTGGATTTGCCAATCGTCACTTCTTAAGGATGGCGCGTAGCCTACCCTTCTGGTTGCCATATTCTATACCTCAGCCTATCATTGCAGGTTTCCGACTCTTCGCACTAGGTCGTGCGTACGTATTTCTTATGCTGGTGTCATTTTCGAGATGAACTCGCCGGCTGAGAACAACCGTGTTGCTAACAAAGACAGTATGCGCAACAATCCAGTTGCTGGATTTATCGGATGAGGGCCAATGCTAGAGAGGATGACCTGATACTGGAAAGTAGAAGTCGAAGAGAAACAAGTGGACTGGTGTATCCGCAGCCATTATCCTAGAATGCATCTGTATATCCACTAAGATAGCTCTACCAGCAGTGAATCTAGTACATGCATCGGAGTAGAAACACGGTTAGTGGGGTAAGACCTTATCCGCGGTTAATACTCACTGCCGACCGGCGTCGTGGTAGTTATACTAGCCATGCACCGTATAACACGACCCAGACTCTGCAACCCCAATACACGCATCCAACGCTATACAACAACCCCCAAATGCACAATGCGCCTCCCCTACGCCCCTCCCACCGCTCAATCCCCCGAAGATGAGGAAATCTACACCCGCATCGCTGCCCGCCGTCATCCCCGCCCCCTCATCCCACTCGACTTGACGCTTCTTCACGCGCCGCCGCTGGCAAACGGATATAACAGTTTTGTCGGGGCGATTCGGTCCAGTACTGTATTGGATCAGGGACTGCTGGAATTGGCGATTTCGCGGGTTGCGATCCTTACGAATGCCGTTTATGAGTGGAATGCGCATGCCCCGCTTGCGCTGAAGGGGGGGATTCAGCCCGAGGAGCTGAAGGTTGTGAGGGCAGTGCCATCTACGATTGGCTCTGAGGAGGCGGTTAAGGCGTTGGGTGAGAGTGCGTTGTCGCCGTTGCAGAGGGCGATCGTGAAGTATACGGATCAATTGACGGTGACGGTGCGGGTGGAGGATGCGGTGTTTGGGGCATTGAGAGAGGAAGGGCTGTCGGATCGGGAGGTTGTCGAGTTGACGACTGGTGTCGCTGGGTATAACTGTGTTAGTCGGATTTTGGTGTCGTTGGATGTGGGCGAGAACAATGACAAGGAGATGAAGAGTGTGGATGAGTTGGTGGCATCTCTTTGATTATGATATCATGTATATCTAGTCTATGTCTAATTGAAAACAACCGTCTTGTGTCCATTGAGCAAAACTCGGCGCTCCGTCACGGTCTTGACAGCCCGCGCCAACACGTTGCTCTCAACTGTACTGCCCGCATGCGTCAACTCCTTGGGGCTCATCGCGTGGTTGACCCGCACCACGTCCTGCTCGATGATCGGCCCCTCGTCCAAGTCGCTGGTCACAAAGTGTGCTGTGGCTCCCACAATCTTCACACCGCGGTCAAAAGCCTGGTGATACGGCTTCGCGCCCTTGAACGACGGCAAGAAGCTGTGGTGAATGTTGATGATCTTTCCAGACATCACCTCACACAACCGCGGCGACAGCACCTGCATATATCTTGCCAGCACGACCAAGTCCACATTGTGTTCCTGCACCAGCTCCAAAACCCGCTCCTCCTGCTCGCGCTTCGTCTCGGGCGTAACGGGCAGATGCACAAAGGGCACGTTGTAAGTCGCCGCCAGCGGCGCGTAGTCGGGATGGTTCGAGACGATGACCGGCACGTCGATGCTCAATTGTCCCGTTGACTGTCTGAACAGGAGATCGTTCAGGCAGTGGCCGATCTTGGATACCATGATCAGCACGCGGGGTTTCTGCGAGACCGGCCACAGCTGGAAGTCCATGTTGTGCTCCTGGGCGACAGGCTCGAAGGCCTGCTTCAATTGGTCCAGACTATTCCTCTCTTTGTCCTTGGAGGCAGGGGCGAAATGGATGCGCAGGAAGAATCGCTTCGAGGTGGGATCGCCGAATTGCGACGAGTCAACGATGTTGAGATCATGCTGGGCCAGGAATCCGGTCACCGAGTGCACAATGCCGGGACGGTCGGGGCACGAGAGGGTCAGGATGTAGTTATCCATGTTCAATAGCAATTGTGTATGTAGCAATTGTGTTGAAGGGACAGACCGGTATATATACAGGGAGAAAAGAATGAAGGGAGAATGACTCACGGAATAATTTCGGGAATTTCGGGTGACTAATGGGCTGATTGATTGATAAGATTAGGGTAGGGCAACTTGCCTATTTAGGATGAATGTTTACTTCATATTGACCAGAGTTTTTATGCTCACAACACCAGCACTACTTTACGACAACTATCACTCATAAAAAAAATATATGCTGCACTGGAGCTTTCAGCTTCCAAATGCAACTCCGGTCAACACACTACAGCACCAGACATAATGTTCTCCGGTAGCCTGCAACTGGGGTGGGAAATCCGAGACTTTTGATCTAGATACAGGCAGGTACACAACTGTCAGCTGACCTACATTCACGAGACCTTAAAAAAATAACAATAATAATAAAATATTGCAACATATAATGTGTCAAGGAAATTTTTCAAATCATCCAGGCTCGTGTCTGCTTCTATCCAATCGAACAGACCAAACGACCACCATTGGCATCTCCGGTTGGCAGCCGGATCACGGGAGATGGTAATGTTATCCTTGTTCAGACGCACAGACTTAGCCTGAGAGCCCAATGTGGGGATCGACCGCAGGCCATCGACCGGACTGTTCAGGATGCCATCTTTGGCAAGAGAGAGAATGTAGTCCTGCATGGCAAATGCGATTGTCTGGTTCACGGAGCCGGTTTCTACCAGGTTGTAGGACGAGGACTTCTCATTGGGGGTGTAGAAGGTATACCCAGTGTTCTGTGCGTGAACTCCCGGCGACACATCAAAGAAGTAGGCATGAGAATTTTCCTTGTAGGCGGATTCCAGTGCAGCCACGTTGCAGTCGATGATGATGTCGCTCGCCATCCGGGCCGCTCTCTGGTAGTTGTTTAGGTACCCCATGGACCCATCAAACACGGGCGGATAAAGGGTCTTGGTAATATAGTCGATGGTAGAGCTATTGGAACGGGTGAGGATGTGTCTCATCAACGTCTCATATTCCTCGTCGGTATGGACCGCTGGCACCAAAACCAGTCCCTCGTCCGAGTTGTGAGAGATCAACAACTTTACGGAGTGGTCAAACTCGCCTCGACGGAGCAGCGCCTTAGGATCCTCTTTCACTAGGCTACCATCTGGCGTAGGGCCCTAGATGGGTGCAGTGTACGGTTGCGCGACACCGATTGTTGCCGCATTCGCCCGAACCAGAACATCGGAGCGGAGTTTGCGGGCTTCCGCCAGCGACGTGGCGTTAGACTGGTCGAGAAATTCTCTGAAAGCCTTCTCTTGGTCCTGCAGCGACCTATAGGGAAAATAGGCAGGGGACTGTGGTATGGCCTGGCTGAATAGGGCCGGTGCCCTCCCTCCATATGCAGTAACGTGGTGCATGATGGAGCCGCCGCCTCCAGACTCGCCAAATACGGTGACGCGCCTTTTGTCTCCTCCAAACAAATGTATGTGATCCTGGATCCACTGCAGGGCAAATCGCTAATCATAAAGTCCGGCATTGAGCACACCCTCTTCCGCCTGGAACGACTCTCCAGAGAGGAAGCCGAACGCACCCAGTCAATAATTGAGAGCCACATAGACCACTCCGTCCGAACTACCGGCCTGGCTGCGATTAATGAGGCCCTTGGATAATCCGAAAGAGGTCTTTGACCCGGCGGTGAATCCGCCACCTTCACCTCCTCAGCATTTCTGAATCAAAAGGGGAATAGGCGGGGTTCTTACCGTGGATCCAGACAAAAACTGGCACCAGTTTTCCATCTTCGTGAGGATTGTCAAAGATTCTGCGAGGAACTTGGACATCCAAGAACAAACAATCCTCCACTCCACCTGGGAAGATCGCCGACATATAGCTGTAAAAGACATTGGGGACATTTCCGGTCTTCAAATAGTTGTTAGTATACTGCGAGGTGCGCAACTGCCAGGCGGACGTCCCCTGTGCACAGGTAATTTGCTCCGAGTTGGATTGAATGGCCGGCCGGTTGGTCTGGGGTGGCACGGGAGCCTTCCACCTGAGGTCGCCCACCGGCGCAGCGGCATATCGGATGTTGGAGAAGCTGTAATAGCTGTCAGAGCTCTATTGTTCGACATTATTGGTATCAGTAGGACAAAGCAGAAGTGGTCGCAGGAAGAACGCAGGGACCTACATTGCTAGATCCAGTCGCTTGGTAAATTTCGTAGCCCAGATCCACCACGGGCTGTTGATTCACAGTGCAGTCAGCTTTTGCTGCAGCCAATATGCAGCTGACCAGCAAGGATTGTTTAAGGCAGACCATTTCTAGACCAATGATTGTAATCTATGCACAATGATGTTGATGCAGGTTTTTTTGGATACACAAGCCTCGGCCTTATATATCTACATGCGTATGTATATTCAATACGGGTTATGAGGGATTCGTTACAAGATTATTGCGTTCAAGGGGAAACAAAAGTAGGGCAAGGCAAAACCGAATACGGATACGCGTATAGATTGTGGATCTGCACGGAGAGATTTGGGGCCCTCAAATACGCGTATAGGAGGTTTTTTGGCGCCGCTGCCGTATACATGGGCCAAGATCGTTCGATAGATTCACCTTTTTCGGTTGTTCTTCTTGAACATCAAAGAATACCATTCAATGTGGTCTGATCGAATACGTGTATAGACGACAGGCCTGAGTAAGGCTGGTGGACCTTCAGTCTAGGCAGCATGGTCAACTCAGATAAAGGGCGACATTTTGCTCCAGTTTACAGAGTACAGAATACCATTCCTTCAATTCAACATGATTTTCACACCTTTAGTCTTCCTCGTCCTCGGCACAATATTTCTTCAACTGACGTCCGCTTCCAATTGTTCGCCAGCCTTCATTGGGAAACCAGTCCTTCATGGAGCGAAAATCATAGATGTCCAAGCTGAAGAGGTTCACAATCATTCAGCTATCAGCCTAGGCCCAGGAACCAATGATGGAGGTCGCTATACCATTAGCTTTTGCCACGTCACCGTCACTCACACGCATCCGGGCTGGAACGATACGATCAACACCCAGGTGTGGCTTCCTTTGAGCGGATGGAACGGCCGCTTCCAGGCGCTAGGCGGTGGCGGGTACAGCACGGGATTTGGATCACTCTATCTCACATACGCTGCCTCTAAAGGGTTTGCATCTGCGTCTGTCGACGGAGGCATTGCGGTGGGAACAGAAGCCATCCCAACGGACCTGTCGTGGGCACTCAGCAGCAAGGGAAATGTGAACTGGTTTCTCCTCGAGGATTACGCATCCAAGGCGACAAACGACATGGCTGTCATTGGAAAGCAAGTGACCGAATCATATTACCAAACAGCCCCCAGTTATTCATACTTTTCTGGATGCTCCGGTGGGGGGCGCCAGGGTCTCATTATGGCACAAAACTACCCCGATGCTTTCGACGGTATTGTGGCTAGTTCTCCCGCGATCCATTTGGAGACTTTTATACCCGCGGGATTTTGGCCCGAGCAACTCATGAATCAATACGGTGTATTCCCATCGCCATGTGAAGTTGAAGCCTTCACAGCAGCAGCAGTGAAAAGATGTGATCGGATGGATGGGGTGGAAGATGGCATAATCAGCTCGCCGAGACTCTGCACCGTTCAGGCCCATGATTTCGTCGGTCAGAACTACACCTGCAATGGAACACAAGAGACCCTGTCCACCGCAGACGCCAGGGTCATCCAAGCAGCTTGGTCAGGCACCGGAAAGCACGGCTGGTTCGGGTTAAACAAGGACGCGTCGCTCAGTTCTTCGTCTATTCCGACGACATGCAGGGCAAACGGCACTTGTTACTCCACCGGGAGCGAACTGTTCGGCAGCTGGATTTCATATCTCGTCGCGAAAGATCCAGATTTTGTGCTCGAAGACATGAACAATTCGGACTTCTTCGATGGCCTGCGCTATTCGACGTCTCAGTATGCACCGATGCTAGCAGGGGCCAACCCCGACCTCTCGGGCTTCAAAGCGAATAGCGGCAAGATGATCGCCTGGCATGGACTGGCCGATGAGGTAATTCCCCCCAGAGGATCAGAACAGTATTATGAGGAGGTATTGGAAAAAGACAACGAGGCCCATGAGTTTTTTCGCTTTTTCGAGGCACCTGGTGTTGGTCACTGCTATGGTGGGCTGGGTCCTGTCCCGAACGATGCACTCACTCAACTCATGGAATGGGTCGAGAAGGACGTTTCACCTGATACGCTAGTGGCCACAAAAGGCAGCAACGACACGGCAAGAGACCTATGTCCTTATCCTCTCGAACAGAAATTCATTGGAGGTGACCCAAGGAATGCGACATCATTCACCTGTGCCAACAAGCCATAGATGTCCCTATATATTCCTCTCTTCATTCCTTCTTCCTTTCGCTCTTTCCCCCTTTTCGTTTTCGGTATGTTTTTAATATAAAATATCAAAAAATATTTATGAACAGTCTGCCAAGCAGTACTTTTGGTCACTCGATAGAAATAGACTTCCGCAACGGTTGGCGTATATCGATAGGATAGTATCTACCAGTAGTAGAGCTGCTCACTCTCAGAAACACAAGCAGTCTCCTGCACTGGAGTTCTATATTATGATGAATTTTTTAATGCCAAAAAGTTGCGGTCTTTCCGTTGAATGCCACGCAAAAACCAGTCCCAACGTTAAACAGAACGAACCGAGCAATCAATCATACACGCTGCTGCTACTGCTGCCCCCTTTCTCCTCTCCTAATTTCTAGATTTGAGTCTGTCATATTGATGTGTCTAAATTACATTTCATTCAATGCTATTCGTTCTATCTACTACTTATTGAGTCTGTGATGCCTGTTAGGGCGGTAGTGCTCGCTGGTAAATTCCCTTGGTCTCTTTTAGCTTCCCTCGGTCGACGTAGATAGGAGTTAAGGATGGTTTCTTTGGAGTCTAGTGCTTTGGAAGACATATTCTTTTGTCTAAATTACTTGGCTCTTAAGGGCCTCTCATGCACAAGACAAGCTTTGCTTCACCCCAAGGCGGTCAGATCAAGGCCTGTAAGCTTGAAAGTCAAATTGAGCTCCAACAGGTCCGAAACTTCAAAGAATTAGACACCAATTGTCAATCTCGTGGTTGTTGGAGACCTGATCTGATAGGTACAATCCTTCTTGACTGACCAATGGGTCCAACTACAAATTGACAACACAGTGTCCAGCATACCCAATCAGCTCAGGAGTAGTACCACAAGGCTCACAGTGTTTTCCATTCTATTCATCATCTACCTCAGCGGCGTTTTTGGTGTGATTGAAAGGGCAGTGGCTGGAGTCCAGTCTCTCTTTTGCAGATAATATAGGCCTGCTTGCTCCAGGGCACTCCATCAAGGAGGTCTGTGACAAACTTCAAAATGCAGCAAATGCGGCTATCAAATGGGGTCATAACAATACAGTCCAATTTCATGCAAGGAAGACAGAAGCGGTCCTGCTTACCTGCAAGCGCAAGGCTCGGGCCGCAGAGGCCGGGGCGGAACACCTGTGCCAGGGCCATGGACTTGCCCCAGGGCTGGCCGGCCCAAAAAAAATAAATAAATAAAAAACAAAAAAGCAAAATACGACTGTAGCATTCTGCTAAATGCAGGTGTTCATCTACATTGGTCCTTAGATGAGAAGTAACCGACGCACTTTATTGCCCAATCTGGAAAGCCGAAAAGAAAACATACAAGTCTCCACGTAAAAAGGCTTTGCTGCGAAAATACAACCTCCCCGCTCGCTACGCTTGTAAAAATGAACGCCAACCTCACTCGCTACGCGAGCGAGGCATTAAAAAACAAAAACATATAACAGCCGGGATTCGCCGGTGGTCACTCACCCTACTAACTAGCCGGCGTGTGACTTGTGTGCAGTCAATAGTCGGTCGGGGGGCTTTAAAGGGTGCGAGATGGTCCAATATTCTACGGCCACTCACACCCGGGCGCGAAAACCCTTTTCAGGGGGGGTTGGCTCACTTGATCAAAGAGAGGGGCCATGTCATTGGCGCTTGCACATCGCCACTGCTACTGTGCATGGTAGACAAACAAAGCAACATGCCCATGAGCGACGAGTTCTACTAGACAGATGTGGAATATAAGAAAAAAGCTACGGTAAATTGTTAACTACTATACTCGGAAGAATGTCATAGGCACTGTTCGGGAATGAATAAAAGAACTAATCCTAGATATCTATCTATTGTACGGCCTTTTTTATACACAATCTGGCAGCCGTAATCCAAGCGCAGAAGGGAAGGTCGTTGCAGGAGAAATTCAAAGAGGAGAAACGAATGCAAAGTGCATGATGCATGTATGCGGTATTCATAGTCAAAATATGCTGGCTGCATAGCCGTAGTCCCCCGATGCTATAATCTCCTCATTACATCCTTACGACTGGACATGGATAAGAAGTACATGTCATACATAGGCGGGCGGCTTGGGCTCTGGTTAGCCAGTCAAAGCATATCAATCAACGTTCGGTGTATACGGAAGTCAGCATGACATGCGGGGAACCCAGGATGTATTTAGTACAAACGCGTACACTGGGTTGAATCGACAGAGTTGCAGTTACCTGTATCACAATGATTAATGTGATACTGTTGAGAGTGTATGCTAACCTCAGTAGCAAGATATGTATTGCAATGAAGTCAGCATAAATAGGAAAAAGTGTCCGAGAGAAAAAGAATTTCGAAAAACACCTTCTGATGAAGTACTACAACTGCAACAATTAATCATTTCAATCTTTACTCAAAATGGATAGATTAGGAGAGACAGCCTCCAGTCCTAAAAAGTACAGCACCGAGCTTACCGACTACTCAGCAGTCCACGTCGACAAGACTGGGCCATATGCCGAAAACCTCGAGGTCGATGCTTTGGTCGTGGGTGCCGGTTTTGGTAATTCGCCATTAATTATAAGCTCTGTCCACCAGCTAACTTGATAGCCGGTGTCTTCATGCTTAAGACTCTCCGCGATCGCGGCCTGAAAACGGTCATTTTCGAGGCTGGCAACAATACGGGTGGCACCTGGAGATGGAACTGCTACCCCGGCGCTGGCGTAGACTCCGAAGTCCCGGAGTATGAGTTCTCTTGGCCCGAGGTATACAAGACATGGAACTGGCCCAGCAACTACCCTGACTACAAAGACCTGCGTGATTACTTTGATCACGTCGACAAGGTAATTGGTATCAAAAAGGACTGCGCTTTCAACACCGTTGTGGTTGAAGCCCAGTTCGATACGAAGGAGGGGAAATGGAATATTAAGACTGCAGATGGTCGCATGACCAAAGCCAAATATCTTATCCTCGGAACCGGCTTTGTAAATCACTGCATCCATCAGTCAACTGAACATTCACTGATCAAGCGTTTAGGCCGCCAAGCGTTATATTCCCCCGTGGCCTGGTATGGACAAGTTCAAGGGCATCGTGCACCATTCGTCTTTCTGGCCCGAGGAAGAAGTCGATGTGAAAAATAAGCGCTGTGCCATCATTGGCACCGGTGCCTCAGGTGTGCAAATCACGCAGGCCTGGGGCCCCGAGGCCGGCGATCTCAAGGTCTTCCAGCGAACTCCTAACCTCGCCTTGCCCATGCGCAAGCGCGACCTCACCATCAAAGAGCAGGAGCGCACCAAGCTCTATTACCCAGAGCTTTTTCGGTACCGTGAGGCCAACTTTGGTGGCTTCATGTATGGCTGGTGTGAGCGCAATACCTTTGACGACACCCCGGAGGAGCGCGAGGCCTTCTACGAGAGTGTCTGGAAGGACGGCGGCTTCCGCTATTGGGTGGCTTTGTACAAGGATAACTTGCTTAATCCCGAAGCCAACAAAGAGTCCTACAATTTCTGGGCCAAGAAGACTCGTGGTCGTATTGGCGACCCCAGGCTGAGGGAGCTGCTTGCGCCACGGGAGATGCCACACTACTTTGGTACCAAACGGCCATGTCTAGAGAAGAACTATTATGAGCAGTTCAACCGAGAATCGGTGCACCTGGTCAACACCAAGAATAACCCGATCAAGGAGTTTACTGAGACCGGTATCACCCTCGAGGACGGAACGCACCATGAGCTTGATGTCGTTGCTGTCGCAACTGGATTTGTAAGTTCCGCTTGATACACCAACAAGTTAGCAGGAGGATTAACAGTCACAGGATGTTGTCACCGGCGTCATGACCCAACTTGGCCTGAAGAGCATCGACGGTACCAAGCTCGAGAAGGAATGGATCTCAGGCGCAAAGACCTACCTCGGCACCACCGTCAGCGGCTACCCCAACATGTTCCACATCTATGGCCCGCACGGTCCCACGCTCTTGTGCAATGGTCCCACGTCAGTCGCGGTGCAGGGCCGATGGATCACTGACGCGATTGCCAAGATCGAGGCCAATGGCATCAAGTACATCAACGCCAAGATCGAGGCCGCCGATAAATGGAAGAAGCATGTTGTCGAGCTCAATGACAAGACTCTCTTCCCCACGACAAGATCGACGTACATGGGTGGCAGCATCCCTGGCAAGGTTTATGAACCAGTGTGCTACTCTGGTGGTATCCCGGCTTATGCTATCGAGATTCGAAATGCCCTGGATAAGTTGGAAGAGGGATTTGACGTCGTCAAGGCTTGAGCGAGATTCAACGGAGTAAACGAAAGGTATCCTCATTCGGTGAGCAAGGTTGTACACTCAGCTAGCACAAAGGGACTTAAGTATGATGTGTTAATTATATCCTAAGCCTCAGCAGTGATATTAAACCCCTTGAAGTATACATTATCATGAGACGCCACATGCAATGGCAAGGCTGGCTGACAAGTATAAGCGCTCTTCCGTCCTTGCTCAAAAGGAAAAAGTAAAAAAAGAGTAAAAACAAAAACATACAACAGCCGGGATTCGCTGGGTGCCTCCTGGGTGAATCAGGGTATAGCCGCACGAGCATTACGGCCTGAGGGATCGGGCACATATCGATACCAAAGCGTCGACAGTTCTGGTCTCTGGATAAGGCTCGCTATCGGCACACCATCGAGACGCTCAGGTATAAATAGACTATTATGCTCAAAGATAGAGAATCAAGCTATTTGTTCATAACTCTACATAAAAACCTCCCTGCTTACACGCATAACCACGATAGCGATCCGGTATCAATTCGTAGCCGAAACGGTCGTTTGATCATATAAACGCCTAAGTCCCACACTCCGGCGTTACAGGAGCATTAGGGGGCGAATAGTCTATTGAGCGACATGCTGTGGCAGCTTCAGGCACCCTAATGGGGCCGTGGTCGATTCATAGGACAGAGCAAAGATCAGCTTCCAGTATTAACTCGAGATCAGCGTCCTGGAGCCTAGAATTTATGTACTACGTAGATGCGATACTTGTGCTCCTCAAGGCCAAACTGCCCGGTCTGGCAATGTATATTAATAGAAGTGCGCGATGGGTGGGATCAAACGCAAAACGGCCGTTGGACGTTGCCGAATAGATACGAATGGTTGAAATCGAGCGCCCATTCTGTTAACGGGATATGTCGACATTAACCATTAATATACTAGCATGTCTTGACATTGTCTTTTGGATAAGAGCAAAGAGGGTAAGCGTGTCAAGCTGGTTTGGCAAGCCACTGTACACGCCCGCGCGAGCGTCTGAGGTATGGAGAGAGGGCGCGCGATCTAGGACAGAATTGACCACAGGTTTTTATCGATTATCAGTCGCACATTAGAACCTACTCCTTGTTTACAATCTTTACCAATTTTATCGTACCTGGTTATCATCAGCTTTAAACCGTCTCCAACTTATATGCTACATGGTCTACGTTTCTCCACAACGAACCCCCCTTCTCTTTCCCACCAAGATAGAATATGGATAGCCAACGCTCATACAGTATTCCTGGAAACCCGGTGACATAGTTCAGAGATTTTAGGGCATTATTAAAGATGCCAGGAGGTGAGTATAGCAAATCATCGCGTAAAATTCATAAAGGAAGAAGGCGCTCTCGGTGGGATGTTATATAGTCCAATATGGGACAAGTGAGCAATCTACGCTCGCTTGCTCGGGCCAGCTGGCTTCTAAGGTAGTATGTCCAGATTGTGCCTTCTTCTCAACGTATTTTTTCCGCCTGCTACGCAAAATTATGAACGCCATTCTATTTACCATTGTCATTGTGGTAGTAGATGAGCATGGTTAGTGATGGTGTAGGGCACTACAATATATAGCACAATCATATCACACACCAAACCCCCTTAGCCTCAGGACATTCTGAATCAGCTCATATCCAAGTTTCTCTTCCTCATAACCAGTCAGGAGATAGGCAGTCCGAACGACGTTCTTAACCTGTCTCCCATTCAATGGAATCCCTGACAACCTGTCCAAATCAGCACTCGAGAAGGTGTCCAACCCCTCACTACCTAGGAACTAGGCCCATATCTGGCGTCTAGATGCCGTATCGAGCTCGGGATACCGAATACTGACGTGAATCCAGGACTCGAAAGCAGGGTCAATGTTCTCAGCACGGTTACTCGTTAGGAAGAAAATTCCCTAATAATCCATGCAATTAGCTTCGACTTGTTGTGTTCCGCCATGTTTCCAGTATTCATACCTCGTAGTACTCCAGCAGTCTTAAGAAAATTGAGACAAGCTCGTTCCTAGCTAGATCAGCTGTATTCCGAGTCTCCATAAAAACATCCGCCTCGTCAAGAAGAAGAACAGCGCCCCATTTAGGGACAATGGAAAGAACATCCTTCAACTTCTCTTCTACCCCTACGGCGTTTTTTCCCAGGTCTCCTGCACTTAGAACGTAGAGGGGAACCTTAAGGGCCTCGGCCACGCTCTCTGTGGTCAAGGTCTTGCCAACGCCTGGTGGACCACTCAGAAGCGTGATAATGCCGCGGCCCTTTCCCTGAACGACATCGTGAAAAGCACCGAGTTGCTTGGACCGGGCATTTGTAAATGCAAGAATCGGTTTTTTTAGATCTTGCTGTGCAGGAGGTAAGACCAAGGAGTCAAAGGCACGCGAGTTCCAGACGATATCTTTCACGCAGTCGAGATAGAACTCTAGCCATCTTTTGCTGTTCAAGGAGTACCCGCGCACAAAAGGAGCAGAGACCAGTAGTTGATCATCGGAAAGTGTATCTGATATTCGAGAAGGCAATGACGAAGTCTCATACAGTCGTGAAGACTTGAACTCATGTGAATTATTGAATTGGCGGCGAATCGATGGGGGAAGAAGTATCTGCTGATTCCCGTATGAATTCTGTATTATACCCATAGGAGATGATAGAGACTTGGAAGAGAATGATAAAGCCGAGTCTGGGTTGAAGGTGTTGTACGCGTCCGTGTCAATGACAATACGGCCTTTGACGTTAACCTTGACCTTCTTCTCTCCGAGATAGCCGGTCGCGGCGCCTTCTTATTCCTTATAATGATATCCCTTATGCTGTTCCCATATCCTTCCTCGAGCAACCAGCTCCTTTCTCAGGGTTGCTTGGTTGCTATGGTACTTCAGTGGGAAGACAGGCAATGAGGTAATAGGGGCGGTCCCTTCATAAGGGGGGATAGCAAAGGCATGTCCAGTAAAGCCAACGTTGTCACCGTCGAAGTCAATGTATGCTGAGTCGATCTGGAAACTTTTTGTTCGACAGTCTATGAAGCTTGTCTTAAAAACAAAGGCTCGTTGACGACTATCCACCACGCCGAAAATGACCTCGCCCGGCTCGAAAATGGTGTACAATAAGCCGTGTGTCATCACACCATTTCGCACGAGGTCATTCTTATGAGCAATTACACGGCCAAGCTCCTCTTCTAGCACTTTATACAACAGGTCAACGTGAGCCTTCGTGGTTGCATCCAGATTCTCATTGAGTCTGGCTTTAGTGAACTGCTCCCATCGGTGCACAAAAGGCTCGAATGGTCTGTTAAAAGTGAGACGATCGAGTGTCATGGTAATACCAGAATAGCCCTCTAAAACATTTGCAAGGAATTTCTTGAGCGGCTCACTCTGCACCACAATGGAGTGGACCTCGAGGCTCTTGGATCCGTCATAGCACTTGGCATTCCGTACTGACAGCGTGTACTGGCGAGACTCTGGGTCTTCTGCAGGAGACGCAGCATAGTCGGGAAGCTCTTTGGTCCAAGAGCAGCGACCTGTTCTATCTGGCTTTGTTTGGTAGATGTTGTGTATTTTGCATATGGTACCTGCCGGGGCGTACTGGATGGGCTCCGGTTCGTTTTCTGGAGATCATTAGCAAGATTCCGGATGTCGCTTCATAGTCCTACTGGTGGTGTCTTTGGTCATCTTTAAGATAGTTCCGGGGGTTTCGGGGGTAATAGTTGTAGTGTACAAGTCCACTGCAATATACGCGACCTTTTATATCTTCTACGCTGCTTACTTTAGGTGCGGGGGAGACACAAGGCTTTTTCAGCCTCAAAGAGGCGTAGACCCCACCTTCGCGGAAGACATGGCACGTACCAGCGCCAGCATGTACCGTGAGTGTTCTACTTATGCGATATTTGGACAACACAGCGTCAGGCTGAGATGGAGATTCACTAGTCAGGGATTTTCCTGGATTAGCCCAAACTTGCTGATCCATCACAGCCACCAAGCTCTACTCCGAAGTAGACAGTGCAGCCATTCTGACCGAGTAGACGTGTATTCGACAGAAAAGTAGCCGTTATCACAGTGCCATATGGATGGATATAGCAGCTGTGTGACGGTGACTGATTATACTCATCTATACATAGTACTACGAGGTATCCCTTACGTACCTTAGGGCAATAATCTCGGAGTATCTATCTTAACATCCCTTTTTATTGGTTGACGCATGATGAAGGTGCTCATTCTTGGGAGTCCTCGATCTAGAGCTGATATTGACACGAAGTATTTTACACTATCTTTATCAAAGTCCTTTTGTATGCCTGTTCCTCGCCTCGTTCATTTCGGTGCCGCCATTCCTCGACTCTATCCCGCTCAGCGCTCATTGCAGCCTCCAGCACGTCAAAGTGCATCTGGCCGAGGAAGTCTTTTACATTCACCTCCGATTTGGGCCCATACAGACACAGATAATGGTATCGAGCCTGCATAAAGAAATCGCTTTGCAAATTCTCTGCTTCGGGTGCAAGCCAACGGGGGTTCGCTGATTCTTTCTCTCCTGGAGTGCTATACAGACCATCCTGTCCCAGTAATGACTTTCCATACGAAACTAGCTTTCTATACACCTCCAGGCATAAATATGCTCCCTCAAAGATGTAATGATGACTTTGAAGATGGTGTACGGAAATTGGAAACCCAAAGACACCGATTCGTTCGAAAGCATTGTCGATGGAGCTACAACGTCGGAGAACTAGGGCATGCGTCTGAACATCATGCTCTGTTTCCTGTGAGGCCATCAACGGGAGAATGAAAAGCTCATCCCCATTGCTGATTTTCCCCGGCCCCTCAGTACTCCAATCGTAGTCCCTTTCTGGGATGTGGTGCACTCTCGGATTCTTGTCGATCACAATGCCCATTCTCGTCATCTTTGCTGGGAGTAGGTACCCTGACAGTACGGCATAGCCCGAACTCACGCCCGTAAAAATATCGTTGGAGAAAGCGAGAGGAACGCAGACCGCCTCCTCTAGCCGGCAAAGAGCCGTCAGATTCTTACCCCCCTTCCTGTAGGTCTTGGGCCGGTCGCTCCGAGCCCAGGACCAGGTTGGAATACACTCATTGACCCGTGGAGGGTTGCTACCGATGCGAGATGACGGCTCCCAGAGCATATCCTCGATGAAAGTCTCTTTCCAGGAGCCCGCAAAATAGCTCATAGATTGCCCTCCGTCCAATCGCTTGAAAAACCTCGTCGCAATGCCCGCGATGGCAGACAGCTTGTCCTTGTTGAAAGTGAGTTGGAGTGGGGTAAATCCAATTACCAGTTTGCGCCAAAGCATTAAAAGCAAATCTTTGGGGCAGTCTGGGTTGTAAACTGAGGTGAATGCATGTTTGGGTCGAGAGTCAACCCACTGGTAACCAGACTCAGTAGTATTAGACAATCGGCATTCAAAGACCAGCTCTAGGGGCGTGAAGAACAAGACTCGACTAGAAAGCATGCGTTCTTGATAGATCCAGGCGCGCTTAAGCAGTGGGGAGGTGTCGTCCGACCCGGGCTTTTCCCGAACCGATTGACGACGACCGTATTCAAAGAAAGCTGGATTCGAGAATTGACGAAGTGCAGGTTGTATTGTTCCCTGTTTACCATGGCCAAGAAGCATTCCGGGATTTGATTTGCGGAACAGTCCACCTTTGCTATCCGGAGATGAGGCTGCAGCCAGCGTCAGGATTGCATTCTCATATATACTGGCCATGCATCCCACTTCCCTCAGCCAATCCTCGCTGTCATCTTGAACGATGCACAGTGAGTCAATCCAGAGGAACCGGTATCCTAGCTTGCGCGTGAAAACAACAGCATCTTGGAATGTCTTCGGGAGCAGTTCATAGGAGATACCCTGCTCGAACTCGTGCAGCGTTCCAACGGTTGTCTCTAATGGTCTTAGCCCCCTATTAGAGCCCCAACAATGACTGAGACAGACGTATTTTTCTGGCTCATTCCGTGTAACATACAGTTTAATGTCTGATGTCAATTGATTCTGGGCCTCTCCCAGGTCCAGAACCCTGGCTGGGAGTCCCCAACCTGACTCATCCAAGTTGCATTCCGAATGGTTGTTCCGGCAATGCTCCAATTCGGAGCGCGTGAACTGGAGAGCCGCTTCGCTTCCTGTGTCTCCGCATCGAGGAGGCCTGCGGAGAATGCTGTTCCACGAAGGATGTGATTGTGCATGCGTAGCTTGAACCGTCAGCATGGCTCTGGTCAATCTTTAGTATCTTGTAAATCACACTTACTTTCAGAGCCTGCTAAAGGAAGGAAAAGCTCATATACTGGCGAGGATATCCGGTACTCCCATCCCCTGTTTGGGGACTGTTTGCTAGGCCCAGTATGAATAGCCACTTTCAAATCAGGATTTTCCTGTACTTTCTCCCAATCTCCCGGTTGCGTATGGACGGGATGGAGCATTGTCAGTGTTAAAGACAGACCCTGCCGTTGCTCATCCTCCAGAGACTCGACAACAGCGTTCCTGAAACCCAGCCCATACTCTTCTTTTATTCTACCAGCAGCCTGGGAAAGCAGAGCACATCCTTCACAACCAGTTGATGATAAATTCTCATCCAAAAGCTTAAGCGTCAAAGAGTACGGGGCATCCGCTGCAAAAAGCCCCCCAACGGAACGCCATTGACGGCGAAGATACTCTCTGTTCAGATCTAGACATACGGAACAGTCGGCCACGGAGTCATGGAATGCTTTTTCCATGCTCATCGCCATTGTAAGTGCTTTGTCTTTCTATCCAAGAGATAGAAGTTAGCAACAATCCTTGATAAAGCCCCAGATTTCCCTTTTTACTTGGGGCGAAATCGATAAATCGTCAGCCTCATCCAGCCTCACTCAGCCTCCCCGCTTGCCAGCAACACTGCCACTTATGCAAGGCTAAGCGGAGTGGATCAAATTGCAGTGCTTACGCCTCCAGAGTGCGCCACGTAGGATTTGGGCTATCAGTTCCCTTAGACGGTGCGGGAAGTTCCACTGTCAATCATGGAACCAGCAGACGAACAGAGCAGCAGATCCTCGATATGAGATTAATGGCCTTGTCCTTTACATATGGATTATTCCATTCCACCCGAAGAATTCATCAACAATGTCGTTAACACCATCAGACTCCAACAGAGCCTCATTGCAGGAGGACCTCGGGCGGGTCTTGGAACAGCTCAGCAAACTCGAGATCGGATCTCTCCCAGCAGAGATTAACACCACTGTCGACTGTGTGAGGGCTTCCGTGCATGGCTCTTCCAGAGACGAAACTGGGAAAGTTCTAGCCCTGACTGTCCTCGCTGCCGCCCTTCAAAAGCGGTACCAAATCTCTATATCGAAGGATCCTAGTGATCTAGACGAAGCTGTCGACGTGACGCGAGCTGCGGTGGAGATTACTATACGAGAACCCCAAGAATTTGCTATCGACGACTCACAAGTCTACTTTATAAATCTGGAACGCGCCCTCTGCTTTAAATACGAAGAAACAAAAGGAGAAGCCCAAATTGAAGAATCCGTCGCCATCGTGGTTCCACTTCTCGACCTTGTCCAGCAGGGCAGCCAGTTTCATGCATTCACGTTGAAGATCCTCTCTTCTTTGTACAGTGCCGGGTACAATCGGACAAAGACTCCAGAATATCTCGACGAAGCAATCAATGCGACAAACTCTGCGATCGCCATCACTCCAGAATACCACCCCTTTGGAACGGTCATGAGGCAGGTTCTCGCCCAGTTGCATGACCAACGTTTTGAGAGGACAAATCTCCTTTCCGAGCTGGACAGTTTTATCAGTACCCTTCAAGAGTTACCTGAAGCACAAAAGGATACTCTAGAACAGTTTGAGGTCATCCACGAGCTCGCCTGTGCATTTGAACGTCGTCATAAGCTCACTGGCAACATAAAAGATTTAGAAAAGGCGGTTAAGTACGGGGCCGCTGCTGTCAAAATCGCTCCGAAGAGTCCATTAAAAGGCCATCCGATTTCTGCAAGAGATGTAGGCGTTTATAATCTACGAATCCACACGAAAGATTACTTCAGAAAAACAGGAGATGTCCCTGAACTTGACGAACACATTCTCAAGGGAGCCGGCATTGTTGAGATGCTGGTCAATATGGACAGTGAGAATAAGACACAACAGCGATACAAGATCGCCAACGCGTTTCAAAAGCTCTATGAAAGGACAAACAGGGTTTCTGACATCGAACATGCCCTTCGCTTCACGATGGATACGATGCAGTTGATCGATGACTCGCAGGATGAGTGGGGAGCAATTCAGGATACTTTCAAAGCTCAGTTCCGACTCTGGTCAGAACATACTGGCAAGATGCCCGATTGCGAGGTCACAATCATGGCCTTTGAACGTAATGGAGGCACTTACATCCCACCGGAATCGACGGAGGACTTGGATCTGAGGGTACCATACATGATATTCAGCGGGGAGCTACCTGTGGAGTAGGAAAGCAACTTCCACAACCCTGTCTGTTTAGGACACAAAGCCGCATAGTGGACTTATGCACCCTTTTGCTATACTTCTGCAGGTACATAACGCGCACGTGCAGTTACTACGCTTGTTAGTCGAGACGAATTAATAGTTGGTCCGATTACCGAGGCTGACAGATCTCTAATTCTATCATCCATGGTGTCTATAGATATCAATGTCACCCTCCGTGTAATCTAAATTTTCTCTTCATATATAGCCTCGTTAGAGTTGCATTCGGGTCGGGTAGGGTAGAGAAATGGGCACCTTTCCCAAAGATTGACAGTGCTAACCATTTATGGACGCACTAAACTAACTACAGTTAGAACTGGGATGGGAATGGGAATTCCCGTTTCCATTATTCCCAATCCGATTGGCTTATTGTAGCCTTGTATTTTCGATGCAAATTTACCACGCATTATATCTATAACTAACAATCTTTTTTATTCTGAAAAAATCTATATATAATAAAGTAAACTCCTCTCTGCTTTTTTATATTTTTTTATATCTTTTTCAGTGGCAGATTCTGTAGAGAAAAGTCCAAATTAGTTGATAAAAGAAATTACGACTCTATTGCAATAAAATATATATATGTAACTTATTTGGACTGCATTAGTACACAATTTATAGACATGTGTCACAACCTGGCTTCCCTCGTATCGTACCTAGGGTTCTAGTTAGTTGTATTTCGAGACAGGACACTTACCCTAAGTGTCTTCCGAGTAATCGT